CTTCGGTGCCAGTCTCCGTGGTCTTTCCCTCCCCGGCACCGCCAATGTTGATGGCGACCAACCCCTGCTCAGCGAGGTCCTTGCCTCCACTCGCTTCGACGAAGCTCCGCCTGTTGCCAGCCGTCTTCCCCCGCGTCCGTGAGCTGCAGCCTTGGACTCGGGCGTGGAGGACGCTGACCTCGCAAAGAACAGCGTGTAGCTGCAGCCTGCACAGGGACCGCCGCACTCCAGTCGCAAAAAGGTCCGTGAAAAAAAAATCCCACCTGATCGTCGCGTGTGGTTCGGTGACCACAAGCTTGAACCCACACCCCGCGGGTTAGTGTTGCTTGGCACCCCGTTTGGTTCGCCAGGGACCGCTTGAACGTACCGTTGCACGTTTGGGCCTTGTTTCGACTTCCTTTTCTGACCCGATGACCACAGCTGTAAGGGGACACCCGTGTTAGCCCTTTTTGCATGCACGCACAGACTTAGTGTTGCCAAAAATTAATATAAACATGCCCAAGCCTATCGTTGCATGTGCTGTCCATGTGCGACCGTTTTGGCTGCTGCAGCAGGCCGGAATAGCAGGTAGAGTATGTAGTTTTCGCGATGCAGGCGCCACTACTTGTCGAAGCCTTAGAAACTTCAGCAAAGCATGTCGTCCCCACAGTGTTCAATCTCATTGCGAAGGCTAATACCAGTTCCCACGGTTCATACATAGTCTCAAAATTTTCGAAGCCTTCACACCATCAGCCACTTTCAAGCAACTGTCCAAGTGGAGTGGTGTGAACCGGAAGTCGCCCAGGATGACGGCCGACCACGGCGTGGCCGCTTCCTCAGAAAAGCCCTGGGTTCCTGGTCCTTTTGCAACACATGTTAACAGATTGAAGGGTAGAACTAGCGGTGTTGTATTGCGACAGGCATTTTGCCTGCATAGCGTTCGCACCAGCTCTCCGGTTGATTGGGATTCGACGTTGGGCAAGTTCTGGGGTATGTTCAGCATACACGGCGGACGAATTTCCTTCGAAAGAGCCATGGACCATGGAGTATGAATGATTCTGTTTCCGTGTTTGTTGGGAAGGATACCTTTGCTGGTGGGCAATGTAATGTTTTGCAAGACATCCTGCGGTTTTCTCCGGCACCTCAGGCGACAATGGGGAAATGGCATCTTTCTGCAGTGGCTGCGGGCTCCCTACGCATGATCTCGTTTCAGGATGTTTGCGGCGGGGTTTCCTAAGAATTGAATCCCGGTTCGACGCACTTTGCTGCAAACCGCGAAGTTCATACAAGGGTATTAGAGTTGAGATACACTTGAGACAATAAGATGTCGGCTCTCAATGCCGTCGTGTGCCAACACAGTCGCCAGCTTCTAGGCCCAGAACGATACTCCTTGTGAATCCTTGCGACACAAACTGTGCATGAAAGAAATTCTTCCGAAGGATTTCCGGCAAAGCCTGAGGATGTTAGAGACAAGCAGAAGGAAGAATGCTGCAGATGGTGCAGGAAAATTAAAATTTGGGTTGGAGGTTTGCGTTGCGTTTGCAATTCGACTACGTAGTAAAATTTAGGAGCAATCTCCATTCATAGACGTCTAGTCCTTTTTCAACAGTATACAGCAGAAACCTGCTTGTAATTATTGAAGCCCTTAAAGCCTTTAACTCGTGTTCTCCATGGCATCGGCGCCGGCCTCCGATGACTTGGCTGTGTTGAACGATCAGCTCAGGCCCGGATTTCCGCATTCTCACGCGTCCTTCCGCGCACGCGGCAACGGTTTAGGGTTTAGGGTTCAGGGTTTAGGGTTTAGGGTTGTGCAGTGAGAGGTTGGTGTATGTTTTAGGATAACGAGCCCTGAACATTCAGGCCCTGATCTTCGTTTTTTTGTTGTTGCGACGGTCTGCCAGGAAGCAGGGCAACAGCGGCGCAGGCGCCAGTGTGGCGAATTTGAGTGCGGGTTGCAGGACGACCTTGATGAGACCTTTGCCTTAAACTCGAAACCCGAAACCTTAAGCCCTAAACCGCTTAAACCCGAAACCCATGAACCATGACGGCATAGCTTGCCGCAATTGCAGGTCCTTGGCTGGCTCTCGAATCTAACCCCGCAGTGTTCACGGAGTTCTCGCAGAGGCGCGGCCGACAGACGTAGTGCTTGCAGAGAAATAAGCGAGTCCCAGTTTCGGGTTAGCAGGGGATGCTGTGATGCAAGCACCCCATAGGACGAAACCGATGCTTGCAGGATCGGTTTGCCCGCGCGCTGGCAGTTCTGCGATGTGTTAGGCTGGCAGGGGTATAACATGATGCCAGCTATCCAAATTGCTTGGGCTCAGAGAATGACCAGCCTGTACAGTACATCTCATAGTCGGAACAGTGCCAAAGCTCTTGTTTAAACTGCTCGTCATCTATGGGAGACGTGGTCGTGGAGACCTGGCCTCGTGTGTGCGGGCTTACTCGGCAAATTGACACCTGCAGGCCTTGACAAGGAGCTGCTTGGCATGGTGCCACGGCCCGTGGCTGCCTGTGTGCTGCTGTTCCCGTGCTCGGTGCGCCAAGCACTCGGGCGAGTTCATCACTTCAGGGTGTGTCGTACGGTGTCCCTCCACGTGCCTCACCGATACAGGTTCAGGGTTGCACAGCCGACACACTCGACACGGTAGTGTCATGAATCTTGATGACCGGATTGTAGCAGGAGCAGCGGTCATCGTGGTCGTCGTCGGTGTTGTCGCACCTGTTCCTTCAGAGTTCTAGATGCCAAAGCTGTTCCTCGACAGGAGCGAATCTATGCAGCCAGGCGTGAGCAGGCTGCAAAGGGGTTCGGGTTCAGTTCTCCTGTGCTCTTAAAGCCTGGATGGCATGCGCTTCTATTACAGCACCAGGGCCCCCCAGATCGAAACTCTGTGCGAGCCCTGCCTTCCCGAAGACTGCCCTCCAGCCAAACTTGAGCGTAGCCTTCAACCCGTACAATACCCCGTAGCGTAACAGGTACAGATACCTTGAAAGGAGCCCCAAAAAGGAATCCTTAAATGCAGAGCCCTCATAGAACCCCTTGGAGGAGTCGCAAAAAGTACGCCTGATAGGAACCCCAAGCGTCCAGTGTTTTGGAATGTTCTGCCAGGACGCCGCCCTGCGGGCAGGTGGGTCTTTGCGAGGCCTGGCCAAAATCTGGGGTTGATACACGGTGCTGGCTATAAGGGTTCCTATGAGAATCCCGGAGTGGGCTATACTCGATATTAAAAGGGTCACCAATAAGAGCTGCCAGAATGGGCTGCTGAAAGGGTGCATATGGGTTACCATGACGGGCTGCTTGTGTTGAGTTTTGGCGGGCCATCGCCCAGACCACCATCCCACTTTGCCCATGAATGTGACTATAACCGGGAGCCAGACGGGTGCGTTTTCTTGTGACAACCTGCTCCCACCCCTCGTCTAATCTGCGCGGCTGGGGCGTAGCGTGAACGGATTAGGACTGTAGGGGATGATCTCCGACCGGTCCTGCGAAGCTACAAGGTGCATGGGTGCTTCGCCACTGTTGTTTCGTTGAGCGCTATCAGAACTTTTTTTTCAGGATTTTTGGAAAGCCAAGCAGGCATTTGCGTTGCACAGTTACCCTCGTGCACATGACAAATCCCACCCTGGTTCGGACAGGGGCTTCGCCTTGCCACGACGACGGTGTCTTCTTTTTGAAGCAAGCGCGGCTCTCATTTCCAGGTACTACACGGCTTCATTAGAATAGGAGGAATAGCAAGTTTCGTGACCGTACCTATTCGAACACTTCGAACGGACAGCGGGACAACGGTTCATTATGATCAGGGAAAAACCATAGGCTTGAAGCCGCCAGGCACAAAGACAGTCTAGGGTGGGACATGCATCCAGTAATGTCCATGTTGAGACATGATGATGCCGTCGATTTCGTGGAACCTCGTCAACCGCACCAGGGAACTGTGCCGGAGTTTCCGAGTGCTTGTTCACATGCGCTTCTGAGGTGGGACCAACAATCAGTTAAAGAACTTACGCTGTAGGAAACATTCAGTCTGTTGAACATAGATGCATTGTTCCACGTCGAGCTCTTTCTCGAGTCGAGCTCTTCAGGAAGTTCGGTCATCACAACGAACGGTCTGCAGTGACATAGGGATACAAGGGGATGTTGTGATGAATTCTTGCGGCTTTGCCCCATCCAGGTCATTGGCTTCGGCAACGCATGTGGCACAGTGGCCTGCCTGTGCTACGGCAGCATTGTGCCCATGGGGTAGAAGCAGTGGACATTCCTCCCCTATGGATGGAACCTGTTGCTGGATTGGGACGAAGGGTGGTGGGGCCGCCGTCCGAGGCACGCGACGTCGAATGCCCGCGACTGGATGTCCCTGGCACAAGATGCACCACTGGACCCGCTCAACTGTGTTGCGCAAAGACAGATAACACAGCCGATCCACCAGTCCTAAACCTTAAACCCTGAACCCTAAACAAGCCTCACCTGTGTCGTTCGAGTTGCGAGAGTCCCAACAAGCACCAAAAATTAGCATGGCCCCTGCACAGGGAAGCCGCGCACACAGATAGAGATTTGTACCAAGTAAAGATGAAGTGCGCCCGTAGTTGTGCAGGAACGCTTCGTTCAGCTGCAAGCATCGTCGACGCCCGAACAACGAGGCGACCCTGATGCAGCGTTCACTGGCCGATGCCGGGCATACATACCACAGGGGTCGGAATAATCAGAAATATTTCCTCGAGGCTCCATGTTATAGTTAGAGAATAATTTACCATAGCATACCCAAAACCCTATTCTAATTAGTAGGCGCCTATATTATGTAAAACCAGAGGCAGACTTTGTCACGTTCTGCCTGATGCAGGCGAGGCGCTGCTGAACGATGCGTCGCTGAGGCTTGTCAATCACCAGTCAATGCTGTGAGACGAGTGTTTTCGTATGGGCTAGCGACGACTCGGCGAAACAGTTGCATGCCCTGAATGTAGCTCTTGGTTGCACAGAGGCTGCGCTCAAGTAGTCGAGGCAAGCTGAAAGACTTGGGTGTGGGATGTGCAGCTGCCTGAACATGGTGAATGTGCTGAGCTTAAACTATGCTGGACCAGACACTCGCCATGCTATTCACGTTGTGTTGGCGACTCCAGAGATTACAAAACTCGACTAGTTCGACAAAGACTCCAAAGAGGCAGTCGTCCGAAACGGCCGCGACCTCCGAAGCGGCGAGACTCGGCAGATATAATGTTCCTGGAAGCACCTGTGAATTCCCATGAGTTCAGCGCGTTTCAGACATTTTGAACTCAAACCTAGATGCTTCGTTTCAGGCAGACACAATGTCCAGACCGTCATGGTCCCCCGTTGGATCACCATTTTGCTGCTTTTGCTCGCTCCAGGTGCATCTGTCCACGTTTAGGGTTTAGGAGCTCTGTCCGGCATGAACGGGATAATTGGGATATCGTGCTAGGGCAATGAGCATAGCAAGCTGACGACGTGGCTCGCAGGCAAAATCGAATCATTGAGCTGGTGCTTTGGTCGCAGAATACGTTGCCCCCGACGGGGAAGTTCTTCATGGGTCATGCTTTCATGCTTTTTTCTCTGGCATGAGCGACGGCTTCTGAGTCTGATTAGCTGGTATCATGTCTTTGCAAATTGCAGAGCATGTTTCCACTGTAGATGGGTATCATTTCGCAGAGAACGCCGCGACAAGGACGGCACCAAGCGTGGGCCAGTAGACCATGGGCCTACAAGCGAGGCTCGGTGCTTTGGGGTGCTGTGTCCCCAGGCACAGCCCAAGCCCGGCAGGTGTACCCAAAAGATCCCGCAAGGCCGTCTCGTGCTGTTTCTTTTGTCGCAGGAATGACTCCATCCACCGTTGCCTACACTACAGGGCGTTGAAGAAAGGTTAAAATGCCGCAAAGCCGAAGCACACCCTACTAGAGTCAATCCATAAAGTTGGGAACCGGATTAAGGACGATTTTCTATGCGTTGCCTTAAGGATTGAGTCGAGGCTATTGGGTTTCCAACTTTTGGGCCCTACTTCCTGCAATCGAAGCCCCCTAAACCCCAAACTCCAATCTTGCACAAACCCTTACAGAAGCCTACCTCTGCACTTGACAAAGGATACAGAACAGCGAAACCTTAAAACCCCCAAGACACCCTCACCACCTGACACGGCAACGCCCTAAATCCGAAAAGCTCTACAACCCTAAACACCTAACGCCCTAAGAACACAAATGTGGGGTAGATTTTGCTTGGTGCTTAATTCCCAACAAGGGTTCCGAACGCCCTAATGTTCGTGGTGTTGCAAGCCTGGCATGTCTAGATCGCCAAAGACGCCTCGTCTGTGAGCATAGATCTCAGCAATGCAAGAGGGCAACAAAGTCGCCTCCCAAAACCCGGCGAGGCCAGCTTTCTAGAAGACGTGGCAGCGGCGGTGAAGCGAAACTTCATGGACGTCGAGCCGGACCTCGGTTACATAGTGACATAGGGTGATCATCTTTACTATGACAATAAGGATTCTACATCCTAGGCCTATGGGTCACCGTGAGGATTGCAAGAAGGGTTCGAAAATAGGGCTGCGGGGAACCATAAGGGATACTTAAAAAGCATAAACCCTACACTCAAGACTGAGCTTCTGAAACCCTAAGCCCTATGCAGGATTTGTTGGACTTCTCGCTGCTTGCGCTCGCTGCAAATACTGAGAGCTAAAGGGGAAGTTGTCGGCGGAAAGTGCAGAAACTTTCGTGGACTCGATGGTTCTGCGATGTTCTGCGCATCTTCTGCATACTTAGATATGTATGTATGCGCGGGTATGTAGGTTTGTATGTATGTATGTATGTATGTATGTATGTATGACGGTATGTATATGTGAACACACGCACAGACTTATATAAATATGAATATATATATATTATGTGTGTGTGTATATCTATATCTATATATATATATATATTTATATGTGACGTGTAAATACACACATTGGGGATTTAACCGATGGCTTGCTTTCAGTAGTTATAAGTGGGCTTACAAGAAAGGCAACTATAGTTATAAGCCAGATTCGGGGACTTCTAACCCTTAGTTATATGTGGGGTTACAAGTTAGACGTAGCGTACCTCTGTTATAACCCATATTAGGTGACGTCTCGCCACTTAGAACAAGCCATGAACCTCCAAGTATAAAGCATGCAACTAAGTTAGGCATGTATATTCCCGCACACGAAGGTTCCTGTGTCTATTCCGCTAAATGGCGCGTAGATGGAGGGCTGGCTCTCTCATCTCGGACTGATTCGTCGCACGACCTCCTGAAAAAGCTAGCCTGGTCGCCAAAGCAGCGGATGTCCGGGAAGCCGTCTTGACAAGCCCGAAACGGCCCTGAACCTTGTAATGATACAGTGTAATGGTAAGCCCTATAGTAACCCTTTAATTTGCTGAGCCTGACCGCACCTGCCAGCATCCCTCAAGGCTGAACCTAGTCACAAACACCAGAATGGAGGGGTTTGAATCATTAGTACGAGTGTCTTGTCTGAGTGTTTTAGTAAGTTAGCCTCTATTGTGTGACTATAAATAGTGTTTTTCGTGTAACATACACGAAAACCCTAGTCCATGTAGTAAGTCCCTTCGTCAACAACTCGTCCCTTTCATGCGTGCGTTGTTTTGACCAGGGTAGTGGTAAGGAGGCTTGCAAGCAGGTATTTTCGATTACTCCAGTTGTGATGTTGCTTGTTATTCTGCGGTTGAGTACAACTAGGAACTAGGGAAATACAAACCCAGCTCACGACTGCGCATTAGCCCTGAAGCATGCCTCGCAAGTCAGGAACCGGGGAAGCGCAATAAGCCCGGCGGGTAAGCCCGGTAAGCTTGATTGATGAAGCCCAAACCTTTCGCAACCCAAACTCCGTCAAAGCCCAGAGCGGACACTACGAGCTATGTACCTCGTGTGTAAGGCTTTAAAGCTTTAGAGCTTGGAGCCCGTGCTTGCAGCCCCAACCACATACTGTATAGTACAAGCATGAGACTCATGCATTGTGCTGTGATCGCTATGTGTGATCGCTGAATTGGAAAACGGTTCAGGAAGTGCAGGGGCAGAGCCAGACAAGACTGTGATTGTACGAGGACGCAGCTTACACTAAAGCAGCCACAATTCAAGGAATTGTACATTCATTCCTTCTTAGTTGTGTTGCTTTGGTCGTACATGTTGCAGTTGGCCAACACTTTTGTTGTTTCGAGCCCGCTGCTTCTTGCAAGCAGTGTCATCGGGTGTTGGCTTCGGCCCAAAACAAAAGGTAGACCCCAGACCACGGTCTGTTGCACCCCTCTAACTTTAGGGACCCCCAAACCCGAAACCCGTAAGACGAAGTCGTCGGCTAGGTGTGCTCTTCTTCTTCATCGCTTTCATTGGCAGCACAACCGGCCTGTTCCCTGCAGAACTTGAAGATAACAGGGCGAAAGGACAAGAAAGCAAGACAGACTGGTCTCTGCTTATATGTCTGGTGTGCCATGCAAGCGTGTAGCTCCTTCGTTTTTTGACTGGTGCCCTCAGGGCTTGGATGTTGTGCTCGCTGCTTTTCGATTTAACTGAAAGCCCAAATGCCAAGGCTCAGCAACCCTTGAACCAGACTCAAAAGGCTTGGCCCAATCTTGGTGGGCACCAGCATACCTCGCAATCTGAGAGCAATGCAGAATCGACCGATGGCTTTCTTTGCTCAGAGCCCCCTTTGCGCTGAAGCTCTTCCCCCGCCGAGTGCAACTCACAGTAGTATAGCGCAAATATTAAACACGCCATCCTTCGCAGACCAAGCCAAAATTAGAAAATTAGCCCCGAATCACCACGATGCGCCGCCGACGTGGCGTTGCGGTGATTACGGCGCTTGCGGCGCTCGGTGCTGGTTCTGCCTGGTTGACGTGGCAGAAGAACACCCCCGAAACATCCGAGGGAGCGAAACAACTCTCAGGGCGACGGCAGGCACTTTCCACAGCCACAGCCGGGGCAGCGAGCTTGACCGAGAGAGCTGAGGCTGCCGAGGCCGAGACCGAGCAGCCTCTGACCTACTGTGGCGGTGGCTTCTGCACTTCCTTCAGCCTCGGTGGCCGGCAATTCCGTGGAGTCGTGGACACGGGGAGTCCCTTCCTGCTGGTCAGCACGTGCGAGGATGGACGAGGAGATTCTGGCCGGAGCTGCTCTTCCTACTGCAGTGCCTGGGGATGCACCACGGCCGCCAAAGGGCGTCCATCTGGTCTGGAAGATACGGATGAATGTTTTGCCGCGGGCACAGCGAGAGTAAGCTGGCGAAAGGATTCCCTGGAGCTGGGTGGACGGCCTTTTGGGTCCATTACCTACGGCGTGATGCTCGAGGTGGAATCCTACGGCGGCAACGGCGGTGGCGCCTTCCTCGGCCTCGTCCGCGATCGCCAAGCCAGAATCCGGCCGACTCTGGTCGGGCAAACGGATGTCCGGACACTTTCCATTGACCTCCGTGCTGGCCAGGAGAGCCTTTCGTTCTCACAAAAAGCACCCAAAAAGGGAGACGGGGCCATGGTGCCACTTGTCGACCTTCGTGGTTCCGGTGCGGCTGTGCGGTACTATGCCGCTGAGGTTGCTGCTCTCAATGTGGGTGGCAAGCCTTTGGAAGTTGAAGGTCCTCTGGTAGCGGTCTTGGACACAGGAACAACAGGGCTTGGGCTGCCCTCTGCGCTTTTCGCGCGCTACGATGCACAGCGGCGTGAGCGGGCCGAGGAGCTTGGCCTCAAAGCAGGGCAGGCTGTTGAGATTCTGCTCAAAGCAGCAGATGGAGGTGTGCTGCCTCTAAGCTTGCGCCAAGGCCGACAAGCACCCTATGAATCGGACCGCTTCGACATCGTCACCGCAATACCCGAGCCTCCAGGTATCGCCCCGGATGCACTGGCACTTTGGACAGGAGACCCTGTGGGTGCCAAGCGCCTGGCGCTGCGCGAAGGGGATTTGGTTGCCGAGGCCATGGAAGTGCGCGCTTCTCAGCGTGGCTGGGTGCAGGCGGACAGGCCGGTGAGCCAGGGAGACCGCTTCCTCGTTCGATTGGTTGGCCGCACAGCTGGGCGCCGGCTCATGGATGCGGCCGTTGGCCTTGCACCACGTGGCTCTCGACTCACGGCCGAGGAGTCTGCGGCATTTCCGGGGGATTTGCAGTCTGGCGATCTCGTCGAGTGCTTGCTGTCAGACGACGGATCAGGCCGTGTTCTCTGGCGAATCAACGGTGGCAAGGCCGTTTATTCCTCGCAACCTTTTGAAACAGCGAGGAACGTCTATCCAACGGTCGAGCTGGGCCCTGGTGCTGGCTCTGTAGAGCTCCTCTCCGCGCCCGCGGGCAACAGCTTCGATGAGGGTTTGGGCCGCTGGGCGCGGCCTCCATCTGAGGCAAGGGCTCGACCTACTGTTCTCTTCCTTGGCCTGGGCTTCTTATTGGGGCGGAAGCTGAGTATCGACACTGTGGCCAACCGCGCTGTCTTCATGTGAGACCAGTCGGAGCCTGCTGTGCAGAATGTTCTTTTCGGATCGCTTGCGACAACAAAAAGACGCCCTCTTGCAGTTCTGACCGGGCATTGTAGGCATCTGAGGCTGGTCACTTCGCCACACATGCTTGCAAACCTGTAGTAGGCGTAGTTTCCTGTGTTGGAGTCTTTCTCATGCCCTGGTTGTGCATGCAGCGTCACGTACCTTGCGAGGCCTCTGTAGCACATGCGAAGCGTGAGACCTCATCTGGCTTTTCCGTAAACTGGACCTGAATCGTAGTCCCATCACGTCCATCTTGAGTCAAGAACGAAGCCAAAAGATGATGTGAGCAACAAGAAGCGGGTTCAGAGCGTTCATGTGGCCCGGATGGAACACTTCCTCCCTGCAGGTTCTGTCGCCTCTCTGGAGCCCAATCAGTTTGGTCTGACAAAGCATCTTGGCTATATTTTGGCCCAAGATAGAAGACGTTTTGGTAACCTTTGGGTGTATACACATTTGTAGTGAGATGTCGGGGTGTTGGGGCGGTTTCTGATCCACAAAGTCCCTTGACGTTGCCTTTCCAGGAACGTGGTCTCAGGCTCCATTGCTCCGCACGCCGAGGGCTCAGTAGCCGATTGCGGGTTTCAGGGTTCAGGCTTTCGGCTTCGGGGTTTCGCCTTGGGGGGTCTTCGGTTTGGGAGTTTGGGATGTGGGCTTTTGGGATTTCTGGGTTTCGGTGTTGGGTGCGCGGAGCCCTATACCTCTTGGCCCGCTGGTCTCGTCAGGTCCTGAGAGGCGGCCTTCACATACTGGGCCCCCTGAGGACGCAGCTCTCCATGGCCAGACGTTGGGTTTTTTTTCTGAAGCTCCGGTCAGTCACAGGGTCTGTCGTGTCCCGGGTGCCAGCTTTCGGCTTCGAAGCTTTAGGGTTGAAAGCTTCCGCAAGCTTTGGTTGGGCGCTGCTTTGGACGTGTCTTTGGGTGCGACATAGCCAGTTGAAACTTGCGACACGCCGTACACTTTTTCAGCGATCTTTCGGAGCTAAACTCAATGGAACTTGTGTTTACAGCTCAAGCAGGTGCGCTGCAGAGGGGTGAGTCGTTGTGGGTGGCTAGGGTCCCAGCTGAGATAGTGATGCTCGGCTTGCGTGGTGCTTTGGCTGCTGTGCCTGCAGCCGCTTTCGTTGGTGCGACTGATTGCTTGATGCGTGCGGCCACTCTCCCGACTTGCTCGGCTTTGCTAGC